CCCCCCTCTCTGCCTGAACTGTACATCCCGAGACCACCGTCAGCAGTGCAGCGGTGCTTTCTACCCACCCCACCCCCGCCTTCCCCTTCAAAGAAGTCACTGAAGGGCAGGTAAAGGCGGGGAGAGGTGAGAAGCCAGGTCTTTATTACCCAGGGACAGATGACTGGGGCCATAAAATCAGAAGCAGCAAAAGGGAGGCTGCCTGAACTGTACATCCCGAGACCACCGTCAGCAGTGCAGCGGTGCTTTCTACCCACCCCACCCCCGCCTTCCCCTTCAAAGAAGTCACTGAAGGGCAGGTAAAGGCGGGGAGAGGTGAGAAGCCAGGTCTTTATTACCCAGGGACAGATGACTGGGGCCATAAAATCAGAAGCAGCAAAAGGGAGGGAGGGCCCGCAGAAGATACAGAATCCCAATGATGAATGTAATTGCACTGTATACCTAGATTGTACCAATAACCTCAATAAAAAGAAAAAAAAACCTGGAAAAACAAAAGAATTATAGATTAACAAAAGCAAATGTTTATGACAGCCAGATGAGGTGCGGAAGACACTCTTAGGACTCTGCTGACGGACACGGACCAACAATACAACCTTTTTAGAGACCACTTTGGTTTTGTTTGTTTGTTTGTTTGTTTGAGACAGGGTCTCACTGTGTAGTTGAGACTGACCTGGAACTCACTGTAGCCCAGGCTGGTCTCGAACTCACAGTGAGCCTCCTGCCTCAGCCTCCCGAGTGCTGGGATTACAGGCGTGCGTCACCAAGCCTGGCCAAATAAGAATTCTTAAAATTAAACTAAAAGTAACGGTAGATGCAACAGGCCCATGTTTCCCGACAGTATACTTGTCCATTTTATATTAACGAACCCAAAAGGAATACACATGAAACTGAAGACCAACATTACTGCTAGCTCTTCCTTTTTCTTTTATATATCTCAGTACTGTATTTTGTTCAGCAAGCATGTCCTACTTTCATAGTCCCTTAAGGAGAGAAAAAAAAAAAAGACCCATAAAGAATTGTAAACCAAGAATGAAGCAGGCTCACCTGGCTCGGCCTCGGTGCCCTGCATACCAGGCAGTAATTCTTTCCTCCCACATCTCCGGAGTCATCTGATACAGATTTATTACCTACCCAAAAAGAGAGAGCAACATAAAAACCCACACACAAGTAAGTTTGGGTATTGTCTGCCATTTTCATAATTATGCATCATTTTCACAAAACAGTCCAAGCTATTTTTAAAAAGCCGCACACAGGGAGAGTCACACGCAGAGGTGGGTGTGTAAACAGGCACCATTCCACTGAAGAAGCAGCCTGGAAACTGCAGGGGTCCTCAAGTCTGGGAGCACCGCTGGGTTGGTGGCGACCCCCCTCTCTGCCTGAACTGTACATCCCGAGACCACCGTCAGCAGTCCGCGTTTTTTCACCCCCCCCCCCCCGCCTTCCCCTTCAAAGAAGTCACTGAAGGGCAGGTAAAGGCGGGGAGAGGTGAGAAGCAGGTCTTTACTACCCAGGGACAGATGACTGGGGCCATAAAATCAGAAGCAGCAAAAGGGAGGGAGGGCCCACTACTGTGGCTAATGAACAAGATGAATGAGGCCGAGGGTCACACACCACAAGGCCCACCCCAGCTCATCTCTATCCACCTCTTGCTGCTACAAACACTCAATTCCCTGGGCTGAGCACACAGCATTCCACACGTCTCCCTGGGAATCAGTGCCACTCAATCACCTTTAAAGAGCTCTCGCCACACGAGAGAAATACTGACAGGCCGTGCTCATCCTGGCAACTCTGCATTAACTCCACGAACCTTTGCTTTTCAGCATGCTTACCAAAGATCGCTATGCTTTACCCAAGATTTATTACAAAATACTTGTGAAAATATGCTTGCTTCCTACATCTAGAAGCCCTTCAGTTAGCTTCCCTCGGGTCACATCTCTGCTATGTTTTTCCTCAAAATTTAATTTCTCACCCTTTTTGGAAGCAATTCCTCTTGGGCCAAAAATCCCAGCTTGTGCACAGAGGGGTCATAGTCACCGTACTGAAAGGAAAAGAAAGGACAGCAGGCAATTGAGATTCAAAAGACTAAAGAAAGGGCCGGGTGTGGTGGTGCACGCCTATAATCCCAGCATTCCGGAGGCTGAGGCAGGAGGATCACTGTGAGTCGCGATCAGTCTGGGCTAGTGAGTTCCAGGTCAGTCTCAACTACATAGTGAGACTCTGTCTCAAAAAACCAAAATATAAATTAACAAATAAAAAATAGACTACTGCCGATCCTGAAGGAGAGGTGACTCAGTCTCCTTCCCTCCTCCCTGCTCTGGGGAGCAATTCAATTCTGATGACAAGTCAAGATTTCAAAACAAAGATTTCAGCCTTGCGGTTGGTTATCCTTGAATGCAAATACAAAGCTGATTATATCTATGAACAAAGTTGCAAAACCCCTAAACCGTGGAGGGGTGATGTGGTAATAAGAATATGATATCGGTATGGAAATTGAGTAGCCCTGTTTTCTAACCCTCAGAGAAAGCAGTCACTTCCAAAACATTAGCTTTTGAATGGAAACAACAAAACACAGCTGGGAGAAAGTTGTGATTAACAACTGCTTCTAAATGGCTGGAAACTGGAGCTGGACTGAAAGGTGGGAACAAGGAATAACATAGGCAGTATTTTTTAATGCCTTTCACTCATAGCTTTTAAAAAATTCTGTAGAAAAAGATGACGTCAACTCTACCACTTGTACTGTACGGATCAAGAAAGGTTAACTGGTTCTGCAAAAGCTGCAGAACGAGTTACTAGAAGGGCTGGAAATAGTCCCTGCATTTTAATTTGTTCTTCCAAGAACGACGACTTAGAAATCTATTTCTTTAATTTTAAAAATCACTCCTTTTTTTTTTTCATTTTTCAGAAAATCATCAAAAACAAAAGAATGGGGCTGGGGGTTGGCTTAGTGTAGAGCACTGGCCTATGTTGTGCAAAGTCCTGGGTTTGATGGGCAGACCTAAGGAGGGAGGAAGGGAGGGGGAAAAAGAAGAGAGAGAGGAGGAGAGGAAAGAAGAGAAGGAGATAAAGAGAATATATGAAAACAGACTAACTGTGAAACACACAGAATATAAAATCAAAGCCAGTGATTTTATCGATCAGCATTGACTCAATGGCTTTTCTTTTTACCAAAAACAAGGAGGGTTGGTATTTTAGTATAATCATCATTTATCCTGTTAGCCACCGACATTGCAAAAGCAAAAGACAGGTCAGGCACGTAGGCTCCTGTTCCCAAAGGGACTTGTCCACCACACCACAGATATGGGATTGAAAGGAGAGATTCACCGTCAACTTTTAAACTGTGCCTCATTCCCTTAACACTCTGACAGTAAAAGCTCTGTGAATTAATACCTCTTATGAATGTCGTAATTATCTCGAAAGTAGCAGAACTGTATTCTTTTCGGTGTGGTAAAGGAATTTTTCAAGTTTAAAGTTTTTATATATGACACAAGTTTTTGTAATCCTGTGTAGGCCTTTATTTGACAATCTACAGGAGGTTAGGGTGTGGCTTGGTGGCAGAGCACTTGCCCAGCATGACAAAGGTCCTGAGTTCGATTCCCAACAACCATGTAGTACAGCAGCTGCAGAACTCAGGAAGGAGGCTCTGGGAGCACAGGTTCCACTCCAGCTGTCTTTTGTTGTGGTTTTGTTTTTTGGTACAGAGATCGAACTTGGGAATCTTACACTTGAAAGGCAGGCAGTGGCACCACTGAGCTAATTCCTGGGCCCCTAGCTCTTTTTAATTAATAGCTATGTGACCCTGGAAAGTTTGGGGTCTCGGTTTTCTCTTCTGTAACATGGGTGTAACAGTAATTAACTTAACAGGATTCTTCTGGGGATTAAATGAAAGAACACATGCAAAGTTTCTGAATGATCTTTGACATATACAACCAGACATCAAAAGATCTCTGTTATGGTTTGTGTCTAGATGTCCCCCCAAAGCTTCATGTGGTCAGAGGCTATTTTGGAGGTGGCTGAATCTAGACAGTGTGAGTGATTCAAAGAGGGGTTAGGCCCAAGGGCACTAGGATTACGTGTGTGAGTGCTACCGCCCCAAGAGGTCTGAGCAAGATAAAAGGGGCAGAAAGACACTGTTCATTTCTCTTGTGGTTTCTGATACTGTGTGGCCACCACAAACTGTCTCTCCTCT